TTTCCCTATCATCATCGGCTCGTAAGAAGTTACCTGTACTGTTACAAATGCATGCCTAACTTCTTTACATCGATGACAAAACCACGGGAATGGACTAAGCATACCCCAGTGTACATTTCTAAACTGCAGAGACCAATACAAGATAATTCTTTAAACTGTATCAACACTGTTTAAATATCTGTCCCAATTAATCCTGAGACAACTATAATCAAATCTGTGCGCCCTTAATTCAGGGATGCAGAGCCCTTCCAGCATTGCAACACTGCTGCACACGACAGTACACTCGCTGAATGGAACGGGCTGGGCCTAGAACAGAAGGTTCGTTCTTCTACTACTGCTACTTTGCATCATGCCATCTGCTGAGGTGAAGACACCTAACTCCATTCAGAGTACAGTTAAAATTTTCTTCCATTTGTTGCAATTTTTAAGAGCATTCTAAATGGCATGAGGAGACTTCATGCCTTTGTATTTAAAGAAAAAATACACTTCCTGTTGTAAACTACCAAAAGAGATATATCAACATTTGTGGAATCCTTAGCTGATATATGGCTGTGTTATTAAAATTCATTTAGTTCAACTACGTAAGATACTTGTTACATGCCCTCAATAAATCACTTTCTATTGGTAATTAAGCCTGATTATACTATTTTGTACAAAGTGCTTTGAGATCTACAGATGACAGTGCTAAGCAACATTAAGTGTGTATGTGAAACAAGTAAATTCACATACAGTAAACCACTGCAAAAAGACAATGCAGAAAAGCCCAATGATACATAAAAGCTGAGTTAAGAATAAATACGGATAACCTTCCATTTTCCTCTGGTTTTAAATCACCCATGTCAAAGCTTTTTGTGGATCTTCTAGGTACTAGCGCAGTTCAGAAGTCCTCAGTTGTGTTCCAAATCCAGTCCATCAGAAAACAGGAGAAATTCATAATCCATATGTGCCTGATGGAACTGGTTGATACAGCTGGAATATCTTCTAACTAGGATTTCTGGAGTGGCAGGGTTTTATTGCCCTCTCCCTCCTCCCCCCCTCCAGTCATATTTATCAAAGCATCTTAAGCTATCTAAAGCATAATGCTTTTCGAGTCCTTGCTAAACTCTATTTGAAGGTACACAATTAAATTTAAGGAGACAATGACCACTTTCCAGAAAATATTTTTATTGATTGTGAAAGAAAGAAAAAGCAGTAAATTCCATCAGATGTCATTAAAAAGTATGGATTACAGGTCTTTTATGCTGTGGTTTTAATACATACACGAAAACAGAAAAACAGCTTACCTGATTTTTTTTGCCCCCCATACTGGATCTGGTTGTAAAATATGAACACAGCTTAGCACAACTATGAGGTAAGGCTGCTACAGAAGTTTCCAAGAAGTGTGAACTGATGGCAGAAGTCTACGTGGGTCTTCTATGAAACTGCTACATCATGTGGACTCTCTGCCTTTGGAACCTTGCTTCTACTGCTATCCTTTAATCTTAAACTTTGCCTACAAATATGTATTTCAATTTGAAAACCTGACTCATAAAATTTGCCTCCATGAACAAACCCTGCAAATGATACCTCATTTCTTCTGAGCAATTCCCTCCAGCTTTGAGAAACTTTTGCACTTGAAACTCAGCAAAACCAGGCTGACATTAAAACTTTCTATACTAATGCTTAGTAGAGTTTGTCTACATTGGCCGACCTCCAGTCTAAGGTAAGAGTTTCATTTGAAATGAAACCTATAATGGAAAAGTAAAAGCATAAAAAGGAAAGCTGCTATTTCCACAGGAACGCAAGTAGGCAACAATTAGATAAGTGCCTCCTGAAAGCAGGTTGTTTACCAGCCCAGCAACAGACTGCAGACACAGCTGATGCAATGGCCAGTCCCATTCTTGAGCTACTGTCCAGAAAGAAGGGTATTTCTTTTGTTCTGGCTGGAAAAAGAGCATTTAACTAAAGATGTGTCATTTGTTGTTGTTGAAGTCATATGCCATTAACACATTAAAACCCGTCCCAGACACTTGCTCCTGCATATAAGCTCTGAGAATGCTTTATTGAATTTAGTCCTAAACTTGCATTTGAGGAGTAGAAAACAGCTTCTCAGAAAGGGCAGCTCCTCACGTCTGTGCTGTTTCATACCTACCGTTAAATATTTTGCAAACCATTGCTATGACAATCAAGTATTACCTTCATTGTAACCTGTAGTTCTTCAGCTTCTCAATCCGTTATCTTATACGAAACCCTAGATACTTATTTGGAAACTAAGCACATGCACCTCCTCCATCCTCAGATGAAGACGACTTCAGCTTTTATAATAGAAGGGTGTTTTGTGGCTGAATTCATTCTCAGTTCTTCCGTCACCATGTTCAACCCACAAACACGGAGCAAACTCAAGTCAAACATTACTACTCATAATTTTATCTAAAAATAGAAGATTATAATATAACCTGTCTATACGAACTATACTCTGCCACCTACTAACCCTGGGGAACATGGATCCCTTTCCCTCTCAACAAACCAATTTTCAGAAGTCAGTGACTTGACTAGAGTTTGTTCCAACTAGAACAAAACATTTCAAACACCTTGTGCACCATATTGCACATACAGCATGATAATTAGCATGAGACAATGACAGTGTAGTGAAACCACTATAAATATTACCTTTGTCTTCACAGATTTCTTAAGTCCTCTGTGGGCTAAGCGTCCTGCTTAATTTAAGTGACAGTGAATGGCTTGTAAGGACCTAGATTTTGTGGAGTTATGGGTTGCTGAAGATAGGCTGGGGGGTTTTGTTGGTTGTTTTTTTTTTTTCAATACAGTGGCTGTTCCACATACTTGATTTCACAGGTAAACTCATCCTCCTAGTAGCATATAAGCATCTTGTTGGAAAGGCTATGTAAATTTCAGACAATTTTATCTTGAACAGAGTTGGATTTCCAATTTTTCCCTATTTACATACTTTAAAATTGGTTTTATGTAAAAAAATTTAATAATGCTTACATTAAACATTCAACAACTTGTTTCAGATTGACTTTTGTTTTGTGATTTTTACCTAGCATTTAACCTCCCCTGTTTTGTGCTTACCTGGTCCCTCAAAGGGCAAGAGTTTGGAAGGAATTGGGTCCTTAGTACTCAGGGGGATCAGGTAGAGATCCTTGACATGTCTGTTGTTATTAGCTACAACACCAAAACGACCACGACTGCTAAAATAGGAGTAGAGAGAGATATAGGCGACTTCTTCTTCTTCTGTTGCAGGATGGAAACGAATCAAACACAATTCCTGTAATACAAAAGCAGAGTGGGAAAAATTCAACCTGCAACATACCATCAAATAAAATGGTAAAGGGAAAATTCCAGGGGTAAAGAGAAAATTGTACATTTATCACTCCAAGTTTTCAAGGCAATATTCTAGCTTTAAGAGTACTGTTGTTCAATTTGTAATATTAAAACAGGATTAGGTTTGTAATTTTCAGAAATACAAATTACTTGTGCATCTTACATCAAACTAAACATTTTGAGGCTCAAATACGAAACAAATGGAAAATTCTTAGTTTTGTGATTATATCTGTATACTGTGCGTCATTTTTCCACTTCCGAAGTGTTTTAATAGTAAAATCTATTACATACATTAAATGATAAATTCCTTTTCTTTAAAATTTGAATTTCAATCTTCAGTACTGAATAAATAGATTATTTATGTTCAATCATTAAAAATAAATAAATAGTATGAAAATTTAACTACTATGCAGGAGAGAGAGATCAAGAGGATCTGCGGCTCAATTAACACATTTCTTCAAGAAATCAAAATTTTAAATGAGTAAGTGGTGTCGGTAGTTTTCCAGGTGTGATCTACTTCAGTATTTGCTGTTTACTAATTTATATTATTAAAAAGTTTTCATTTTATATTGCTGCATTTTTCTTCTGGGTTTTGCAAAGGATTTTAAGTGAATACCTTAGAAAGCGAAGATTTGAGTTTGCCAACATAATCCCAGACTGTCTTCGGTGAGATCCTCCCACCAATATGAATTGTATCTGGTAAATCCTAAACAAGAAGTATTACATGGTAGTATGAGAAAAAACAAGAGAGACCAATGTTTAAAAGCAGTGCAGGTTGCCCCATCCCAGTTGCCTAGTGGATAATGCACTAAAATATTTTAGTAAACTTTCATAAATACTTTTCTAATTTCAGACAGGCTATTTCTAGATTTTAAGGTGTTTAATTATGGCATGTTACCAAAAGGCTAACAGTATACATGAAATGGAAAAAACATTCCCAAACAAGGAAGCAAACTGTCTAATAGTTCTGTATGCTCGTTATTGGCTTTCTTTTCCTAGGGAAGCTGCTATTTGAAATACAGATTTTCTCCACACTTTCAGTTTCTCACGAAATGCTGCTCTTGTGACTACAAGTCACAGGAATTCTAGTGAGCTACTTGTCACGAGGGCGCTGAAACTCATTTTACGAAAAGCAATGCCAACAAGAATGACCAACTCTACTAATAAAAGTCTTAAAACACACCATTTGTGTTTGAAACTTCCTAACAGTCACATAAAATTCATTTCAGAGAAAAAAGAAAAAGAAAAGCTTATTTGTTTTACTGTAAACCTTTATACTGTCTCAGTATTTGAATGTATACCCTCCCAGCATATCATCTTTTTTTCTTTTTTTTTCTTTTTTTTTTTTTGAAAATTAGTAAAAAGGATGATACTTTTCATAAATGGCCAAACACAATTTTGTGATAGATCACATCAGTGACTCATCTAGTTTGAGAACAGAACAAAACATCTACAGTAAAATACTGACTCTAAAACTTTTCTCCCAAAAATGATGCTGAAATAAAGCTATCATTCCAGGTTAGATCCTAACATAAGAATAAATATGTTTAAAGGCATGAGAATTCTTCACAAATTTGTGAGGAATTTTTAAAAGGTTTTTTTTTTCCTTGAACTACTTTTCCTATTACTAAAGGGATGCCATTTACCACTACTACAGTTCTAATATTTCATATATGTGTGTGTATATATATATATAGTTTTATATATATATATAGTGACCCCAGCCTTTCTAGCAACAGGAACTGCAGCACAGATTTATTCTAAACACATAAACATGTCAGTGCTAACCTCGCTAAGATAATCAAAACACCCGGAGACAGGATATGCTTTAGTGACAAATTTGGCCACACTTTGCATGTTAATAAATCCTTTCCAAATGGTGTTGAGACGAGAGAGAAAGAGGGAAGTATCGCTGTCCTGAGGAGAGCGTGGCTCTGCAACACTGCAAAACAAATCCAAAACAGAAAGGTTACAGAATACAAATGAGAATGGTCCCTTCCTGCTTTCTTTTCCTCCCTCCTCCTATTGATCAAATACTTTCTTTTAAACACATACCATAATTTTTACTAACTGCTTTGTTAATGTTTGGTAGCGGTATTAGTGAAAAAGGGAAGGAGTAACAGATAATAAACTTGAAGCTGCAGACAGGCAAAAAAGATGCCGAAAGATAGGACTTTTATAAAATTAGGTTAGCACTGTAACTGTTGTGATCCTGACTCTGTAACAAACTAATCTGAATTATGTATTTCCCTCTAACTGAGTCAACAATATGCATCTGAAAGAGATTCTCAAGTAAAAGAATTTGATGTGAACAAACCACAGTTGCATAAGGACATACCTTGTAATATTTATTTTTACTGTTGTATATACCCAGAATATGAAAGAAATCCACTTTCTTTCAAGCTGATCGATTGGTTAATTTAAATTAATATTCATAAATTCAGATGTAACAGTATTTTAATATAGGATGAAAATCTGGAAATGCCTTTAAACCATCTCTCATACTCTCTTTCTATATATTAATGTACATGCAGACTTCGAAGTCTGCATATCATCTTCAAGTTTTATTTATCTGCTGAAACACATTGTAGAATCTTTGCTGTCAACATACACTGATGCTCCGAAAATTTTACCAACTAGAGAAGGTAAATGAGGAGATAGTAAATTAAAAATCTCAATCAGGCTATATGAACTTTAAAGTTGAACATGCCTTGTGACTGGGGGTACTTTGAAGATAACCACATTAAAGATATGGGAGCTTGGCTTAATAGCAAGTATACGCACTTGATATTGGGTGAATGATGAACTGCTAAGAATCTTGGATCTGGTGAGGATGATGGTTTTGTTAATATTGATTTGGGAACAGTCATAACTGGTTTTGAAGTTTCCTGTTTTGTTTCCCCTGTTGAAACTTTGTCAGATGCAGGACCAGAACGCAGGGCTGGTGTCGCAGTACCAGAGGAGCTGCTCATTGCTGTCCTAGGATCTCTGCCAGAAACTGTTACGGTTGTGACAACCCCACCAGCACTAGAGGCAGGAAAAGCAGAAGCCTCTTCAGGTACAGAAGAATCTGTATTGTTATGGCCCTGGGTTGCAGGAACGCAAGTTCTTTCTGCGCTGGCCTGAGAAACTGTTTCTGCTACTGGTCCAACTTCAGTTTCCATTGCAGTTTCAGAGACCGCCTCTTTGGCAGGCTCTGCTGTTGGGGTTGGTGCAGCACTTTCATACTTGGGCTGAACTTCTGGTTTTGATTTCGACTCCACCTTTTTAACAGGAGCCACTGACTTTATCTTCTTAGGTGGCAGTTCATCTTCGGATGCGGAAATCTGACCTATAAATTTATTTCGAAAGTTTTTGATTACTACTTAACAATGAAATAGTTTGGATAAAAACAAACAAACACCACCCTTAACACAACAATTCTTTTACTTTGCACAAAGTCATCACTGTAGATACCTGTACAGATTTTGCAGTTCAGGTCAAAAAGATGGGCTCGATGTTGACTTGTTGTATCCTTCAACATACTGCTAAAAACATCTAGAGAAGGAGCACTGTTTAAATTTGATGCAGTTCGGGCTGACTCTTGCTGCTCCTAAAAGTGAATAAACACAAAAAATATTCCAGTTGACCGTGAATTTCAACCATAAAAAATACTTTGGAAACCATTAACTTACTTCAGTTCTTTAAAAAAAAAAGAAGATTAAAGGCCTTGGCCAAAGTATATCACATCAGATAGAGTTCTCAAATAATATTTGGCCTCATTTCATTCCACAGTGTTTTGAACTAGATAGCTGATGTTCAGAAATAAAAGATTTCTCTGTAAATTGACAGCAAGGGCCGAAAAATACACAGCATTTTAGAAGTGCATGCAAAATATGCCTGTCATTTGGTGGTTGGGCTCCTTCAAACTAACAGGAAAAATGCTCATTACATACCTAATAGGTAATAATATCCTTACAGTTCATTGAAAAAATCTGCACTTCTGATATAAAAATTTGAGGCTGTAGTTACCACTTATCTCCCTTACTGTCTTCATGCTGAAGCAATAGCCAATACTTACATCAGAATCAGACACTGGTGGAGAATCTTCCATATTTACAACTGGCACATGTTCCCGTTTTACAGCTGTTTTCTTGACTTCATGAGATTTGCTTCTGGACTCTATCATCTGAAAGAAGCAAAACCATTTTAGTAAAAAGTCTACGTATTCATTTTTTCATTTTGTTCCCTACTTTGTTATTGTTCGACTGGTGATAGAGAAAAAGTATATTGAAACTGAACTTTATTAGTATTTCATTAGGAAGAAAGTGGCGCATTAAAATAACATGAGTGGTAACAGTTGGTGAACTCTTAATTCGTACCTAAGGACATAAGGGAAAATGATGTTACTTACTGCTTTAGTTGGTTTCTCCTTCCATACAGACAGTTCTTTAGATAAAAGTTCTTCTGGTTTCATTCTCACTAGTTTTGACAGTGAGATTTCCTCACGAAGGACACGATGAAAAAGTCCCTGAAAACAAAACAGACTTTGTTGCCATGCTGAAGAGACCCTGCTTGGGTAACTAACAAGATTTGCAGTGCTGAACAGGCAACACCTGCTCCAGTTTCTCAATTCTCTATTAAAAATACCAGGTACTTATAAGCAAATTTGGAAAGGTGCGGAAACCAGAAAATAAGGATGAAACAAACACAAAGTATGAATTTTCCTCATTAACATCAATATCTAGCAATAAAACTGAATAGGAGTGTCAGAAGTTGAGCAGCCATTCTCCTGTTTCAGATCTATTGTAGAAATTTTAAAAAAAAAGTTTCAAGTGTTCTCTAGTGGAATTTTTCATCTGCACCAGCATCCATTTTTTTCTTTTAAAGCATAACTATGATCATGTACACAGGCAGTATCCAACACACTACAGAATGTCACAAGAGGAGAAATCAATAAAGTCTATATTTAAGAAAGCCATTCTGTAAATAAATATTCCCCACCAAATGCCCAAACTTAATAAATACATGTGACCGACTAGACTTTGAATTCCTACTGGATATATTTTTTTAAAAAAGTTTTGAATGGCTTTATAATAATCTTCTATAGAATAATTCATGTGTCTGTCTTGAAACTCTGTTGAAGGTTGAGTTTGACATACCATTAAAAAACAAAAGTATATTTCAGTATACGTTTACTGTTTAAGGAAATTCCAAACCTGGTTTTTCGGGTCCTTGAGATTGAACATGATGCTACGGTATTTACTCTTGTATCTGTTGTCCGTAACTTGAAACAAATTAAACATCTCCTTTTCAATATTTTCCCTACTTCACTCTCTGTCATGACCAGATCATCGCTATCATTGACTCTGTTAAAAACAAAACAGGGTATGTGCATTTATGTTAGGCATGAATCTTCAGGTAGCATTCATAAATAACTAACTTTTCAGAGCTAGCCTAGGCTCCTCCTTACTTCACGGGGGGGGCCAGACTCCTCTAAAAGCCATCTCAATGCCAAAGTCTATCACAGGACCTTGAGCTGCGAAGCATGGCAAGCCTTTCACTGCTGAGCGCAGGTGGCCATAGAAGACAGCCTTTGTGAGCTGGCATCAGCCTTTACAGCTCCTCCTGCTCATGGCACTGAAGCGAGGAGTTTCTCTGCCATGAACAACACAGGGAGCCCAAGCACTTCAGTTTTAGTCCTGGATTTTTCACTATGAACAGCATTTCCATTTCAGAGACAATACAAGAGAGCAGTGGTCTATAATAAGTATTGATGGCTGACCCTGGCTTTAACAGTCGTGGGACAATTTGCTTTTTGTTTGTTTGGGATTTTTCCTTTCCTAAGTAAAAGTTTTTCACTGACCAGGGTTTGTTATTGTTGAATTTTATGTTGGAAAGGGAAAGGATCTTTTCTTCAGTAAGTCTTTAACCTTTCACTATGCTATTTCCCATACTGTGTTCCCTACAACCTCTACATCTCCAAACACTGCCATCGCTAGATTTTAATCCTTCAGAGCATCGGCATTGTAAAAGCTTCTGCGCTGTAACTTAATTCTTCAACTGTAATTGCCTCAATGTAAATGGAATAGTGAGGTTTATTTTTTTAAGGCTTTTTCACATGCACATTTATATCAGGATTTTTTAACTTTTTAAATACAAACCCGAAATGCCAATTCTACTTGTAATTTGTAGTATGAATTCAATCCCTCAATATCCCTCATCAAGAAGTACAAAAAACTCTGCAGGCTAAACATTTACATCTAGTTGTAGCTTCCCATATAAAAGAAGTGTTTTGAATTCCCACCTCTTCCATAAAATTTCTTTTAGGGATCGTCGAATATTTTGTCGAATCTGAGAATTGGGTTGAGACTGAATAGGGCTAGCTGATGCTTTTGCTTGACTACTTCCAGATGCAGTAGAAATGGAAGAGAGTGAAGGTTTTTTGAGTCCTCCACCCAAACTGGAAGCTGTAGCTGGTTTTTTGGAAACTGATGAGCCATGAGATAGAGATGAATGTTTTGAAGGAACACTGCCTGATGAAGGCACACTGCCTGATGAAGGCCAAGGTTTCTTGGGAATTACACCTTTGAAACTTCCAGTAGAAGGTTTAAGTGGTTGCTTAGTTACTGATGTGTTAGACAGGGATGGAGACTTCTTTGAAGGAAGATTTTTAGTGAGAGAAGATGTCTGTTTCTCCATTATAGATGCAACAGTTTTCTTCGATGCTGATGGAGGCTCTCCTCTATCTTCATGCTTTTTCTCTTCCCTTTGAGCTGTTAAAACAAAGAAAATACAATATTAAAGGCTTAACTTTGTAATTTCCTATTCATGAATTGGAAGTTACCAATCTATAAAGAAAAGTCTGTGAAATGACATCTCCAGTGAATAACTATCAAGTAGGCAATTTAAGCTATTTGCTTTCACTAGCCTTTTTAAAAACCGTGCAGAGGTTGACATAATTGTTTTGATGAAACTTGTCTTTGATCCTTCAGAGTACTTCATCTCAGAGGCCAAATGAAGAGTTGAAGAGAGTTCCACTTTGGCTCTAAAGGTTGAAAAATTTATTTTACAATCTATGCAAGAAAACTGAAATTT